AAAAGGGAAAGGAAAAAAAATAGGCTGTGCCTCATCTCTGACTCTCCACTTACATATAGCTGGCTTTTCATACGGTTCAGTTTGTTAACAGTCTATACAAAGAACTTTCAGACTTGTAAAAACTATCTTCATATGGGAGTAACCATTTATGACATTGTATCAGTTATTTTTTCCTAATAAGTTTTGTAAACCTTAAGTTATTTTTAGAGGCAAGGATACTAATAGGGCAAGTCAAGAAAAAGTAGGCTTCTTAGTTTCAGATAGTGAATAAGTGAATTGTTGTTACAGAAAAAAAGGATCTTTTAAACCTTCATGATCTTCCAGTTGTGCTTGCTGTTGTCAGGTTATGTGCCATCATCAAGGCGGCAGTGCTGTCAGTTCATCAGAACCAAATAAGTTCATAGAGTTTGAGAGCTCCAGTAGTGTGTGGAGTATCATCACTGCCCTTCAGCGATCAATGATGTAAATTAATTGAATGAGACCCAAGGTCAGGTATTCAAATAGATTTTCCTCTGTAAGAGGACTATTAGTGGGCCAAAGTAATGAATGAATTTTCTGTTGTCTGGTGGAAAAGCTCTTATTTTCAGAGAAAAGGCGAGATGCATATACTGCCACTTAGATGCAGTCACCTGAATTTTTAGTGTTAGAAGGATGATCATTTGGTTTCATTTTATAGATGAAGAAAAAGAGGTGCTTTTCTAGCCTAATAAATAGTTCCAGACAAATGTGGACAGTTCAGAGCATTGTCCGTTTGGGGTTTATAAAAGCTGAGTTTTGTGTTTGGGTGGAAATCCCTCCAGAAAGCAAGGCAAACCTGAAGTCTTCAACCTGTTCCCAGACGGCACATCTGCCTCTGGTGTGCAGAGTGGCAGGCAGGGAGTCAATGTGATCCTGAACAGAAAATGCTCTCTTGCAGATTCTCTTTTGCAACAGATGTTCATAGTTCGGTTTTTGGGATCAATGGCAGTTAAAACAGACACCACTACCGAAGTGATTTACGAAGCGATGAGACAAGTATTGGCTGCTCGGGCTATTCATAACATCTTCCGGATGACGGAATCCCATCTGATGGTCACCAGTCAGACTCTGAGGTATTCAGCTTCATTTTCAGACCTTCTTACAGCTTCATCTGACTCCTCTTTTAAGGCATGTTTACTCATCTGCAATGTTCATCCTAGAGTACTTGTTTGATTAAGTGAAGATGCTACTCTTCTTTCTGCTTGTTACATTTCAGTTTTATAAGATACAATGAATGGAAGATGCTCCCTAAAAGACAAGAGCTGGTATTTTTAGAAATTGGTATCTTTAGTGGTGAGTGAATCCTACCCTACTGTGCATAAAGATGCCATCACTGGAGAGTTACTCTGTGTCTCAGAGCTTGAAAATGGAAGATTTTTTTTTCGTTTCCATCTCTGAGAATACTATTTATAAAAATTAATTAACAGTGAAAACAGAACCATAAGCTTGCCTGAGATAACTAGATCACCACAAGGGAGATCTGATTAGTATCTGTTGGGCCGAAAATAAGCCAAGCCATATTAACTGCACGTTTCGGGGTTTCTAGTAGTAAGATGTGTATGAATGACAGCAGACGACGGTCAGGTTGTGGTCGGCATGGGCTTTGTTAAGAGTTGCACTCTCTAATACTGTGGCTCCATGTGGCACCTGAAACCTAACTCATCTGCATTGGGAAGTGTTGTAAGTATAAAACACATACCCAATTTCTAAGATTGCATACTATCTCCCCAAAAGAATGCACACTATCTTAATTTTTATATTAGTAACATGTCTAGCTGGTATTATAGGTCTATAAAGTATATATTAATTTCACCATTTCATTTTTTTTCTAACTGGCTGCTAGGAATTTTTTACTTACATATGAGGCTTACACTAAATTTCTGTGGGACAGCAGCACTGCTTTAGAGCCTTATTCCTGACTGTGGCATTTATTAGTTGTATGAACTTGGGCAAGTTACTTAACCTCCATGCCTCGGTTTCTTCAGCTATAAAATGAAAACAACCATATCCACACCCTATAGAGTTGTCACGAGGAATAAGTGAGTTAATACATGTAAAACATTTACAGCCATGACTGGCACGTAGAAAGTGTTCGATAAATGGTAGTTTCCAAAAAGTTAACTAGTGCTTTGGCAAAAATCAGAGTATAGTTTCTTCCACTTACTAAAAATCAGTCCTCTTCACGTATTATAAAGCTTCTATTTACAATGAGATTCTTATGAATAAAACCTATTTAAGGCTTTTCTCCAAGTATGTCCTGAACCTTTCATAGGCATTGTTTAACCAAAAAGATCAGAGTAAAATACATGTAAAAGCACTGTGAAAAATGTAGTGTATCAGAAAACACTACTCAAAGGGCAAAGAACCCACAGTGGGAGAAAACATTTGCAAATCACGTATCTAATCAAAGGTCTAGTACCAAAACTAAAGAACTCTCACAAATCAACAGAGGGAAAAAGCCCAGGTAAAAATGGATGAAGGACTTGAGTAGACCTTTCTATATAAAGATATATTAATGGCCAACAAGCACATGAAAAGACGCTCAGTGTTGAGTCACTAGGGAAATGCAAATCAAATCCAGAACCACTTCATGCCTACTAGGATGGCTATAAATATTTTTTAAAAAGAAAGTAAAAAAAAAGGGTGTCAGCAAGGATATGGAGAAACTGAAACTCTTGCTGGTGGACACATAAGATGGTTCAGCCACTGTTCAAAATAATCTGGCAGTTCCTCTGTAACGTTCAGAATTCCATTTCTGAGTAAATACTCAAAAGAATTGAAAAAAACTGTTAAAACAAAAACTTGTACACAAACGTTCATATAATAGTACTATTCACAATAGCCAGAAGGTAGAAATAATCCAAATATCGATCAAAAAATGAATAAACAAAACATGGCATATACATACAGTAGGATATTAGCCTTGAAAAGGAATGAAGTACTGGTACACGCTACAACACGGATGAGCCATCACCATGTTACGTGAAGGGAAAGAAGGCAGGCCCCGACAGCCACGTACGTATGGTCACTTACGTGAACTATCCAGAAAATAGGCAAATCTGTGGAAACAGACAGCAAGTTAGTGAGAAGCTGCCAAAAAGTGAAAATAAGCTGGAATGGGGAGCAGCTGCTTTAATAGGTATGGTGTTTCCTTTTGAGGTGATGAGGATGTTCTGGAACTAGACCGTGGTAACGGTTGTACAATGTTGTGAATGTACTAAGTATCAATAGTGGTCAGTTTTATGTCAGGTGTACTTTACCACTATATATACACACAGTTGTATATTGGAATTCATGTTATGAGACAATCTAGAAGTCACAGAGAAAATCAGATCTTGAGAAGCAAATCCAGGTTACCTGATTTAGACAGAAAACTTTTAAAAGTTACTCAGAAAGTATGACATGCATGTTTTAAGTTTTCATGTATAGAAAAATTTTACAAAATACCTAAGAAAGTTATCCCAACTTGAGGGAAATTGTTTATGGTGTAGATTTTAAAAATCATTAAATTGATATTCATTTTAACATTGATTTAGCTTTGTAGCTTAAAATTCCATACACATTTTCTCATTTTCTTAACCGCCTTTTTGAAGTATGGAGGTTCCAGTTGAGAGAAGTCAGGGCGATTCGCACAAGATCATAAAGTAAGTAAGTAGCCAGGCTGGGATCTGAGCCCTCTCAATCCCTCGCTTTAACAAGTATAAATGCCTATATTTCAAACTTTAACCATTTGTGGCGGTGGGTAATAGCTTTGAGACATAACTTACGTATTGTGCAATTCACCCATTGTGCAATTCACCCAGTGTTTTTAGTACGTTCAGATTTTTGCAGCCATCACCACACTTTTAGAACATTTTTATCATCCCCCCAAAGAAAACCCGTCTCTGTCAGCAGTCATTCCCTCCTTCCCTGCGACGTGCTCAGCTCTACGCAGCCACTGACCACTAATCTTGCTGTCTCCATAGACGAGCCTGTTCTGGACATTTCATATAAGTGGAATTACAACCATCTTTTTAACAAATAGATTGTTTTGCTTTTACTTATGAAACTCATAATCAATAATAAGCATAATAAGCAAATCAGTAACTTATATAATACCAGGTGTTAGAAAGTAGAAATGTGTATCTGTATATAGGGTAACAGCAAATTCTCTCATGCAGTTAGTCTTCCCAGAGACATCAATTGGATTATATTAGATGACGGTTAAAATGTTAAAGAGTGTATCTAGAATACCTTCTTAAAGTTACTCCTACATCCAAACTGATAGGGAATCGTTTCAAAATCCCTTCACTGTTCTCTCACCTCTACCCCATGTTTTAAAAAAAATAAAAATTGTTAGAAGTATCTGTTCATCTAGTACTTCAAGGGAAACAGACTGACAGTCAATAAATGTTGGGAAAGTGGCCATATAGAATGTGATCCATCCACGTTATACAGAATTTTCTGGAGAATTATAATGCTGCCTTTTTGGATAAGTACTGAAATACCGTGAAATTAATTCTCTGCTAGTCTTTCACAAAGATACCCTGAGGCCTAACCTCACAGGTTCGGCTGAGGCAGAAACCACGGCACATGCTCCCTTGGACGGTCCATGGAGCTCTCACCTCACCCTCATCCAGGCCTTATATTTTCATATTTGGAGGGTATTTGTGTAATTCCATTCTGAACTTCTACAAACTCACGTAAGAGTATAATTTTATCCAACTTTGTGATAATGAATCTCTTAAAATTTCAGGTTGATAGATCCTCAGACTCAAGTAACAAGGGCCAATGTAAGTACCTGCATGCACGCTCGTTTTAATGATTACTCTTTAATTCACCTTTGTAGCCACCTTAACCATAAAGTAGGCACTTAATACAGTTGCCAAATAAATGCCACTAATAGTGCACTTTTTTCATGACTTTTTCCATGAAGAATGACCTTGTCTGTTTTTTAATTCCAGTTTGTGGTTTGATAGTCAGTCTGTTCCTATTTTTTTGTAGTTTGAACTTACCAGTGTCACCCAGTTTGCTGCTCATCAAGAAAACAAGAGACTGGTTGGCTTTGTGGTCCGCATGCCTGAATCCACAGGTGGAGAGTCTCTGAGCACATATGTTTTTGAAAGCAACTCAGAAGGCGAAAAGGTCTTGTTACTTTCTTCACTTTAAGATTCTGTAATGTCAGTCCAAATCAAAGGTATTTAAAGGGTTACTCTGTACCACCTCCCTGGATATTCTGACTATTCTGCCTGTCTTCATTGACGAGTTTATCTAATAATACCTCCTGGGAAGGCCCAACTGAAAGAAACCTGACAGGTTAAGTTTCCCTGTAGAAAACACATATCAACCAAAATTTAATGGTTGAAGTATTTTTTAGTAGAGATATCAGGAAACGTTAAAAGCAGTTTCCCTCAATTTATTCTTTTTTGAAAAATTAAAGCAAAAATAACAATGAGGAAAGTCTGTTCTCAGGTAGCAAATCGAGGAAGCAGACGTCAGGAAAGTACATCTAAACTGTTCTTTAGTATGAAAAACTTTGTGGCTAACATTCACTACTTAGAATTAGTCAAAATGCATCAACCCTTTCAGGAAGTATCTGTTTGCCTCTGTGTATATGAACATGCAGTGGCAAAATATGGTTGAGAGAAAGGAAAAAGTATCCTGTTAAGAACTTTAAACAATTTAATAACTTCAGTTTTCACTTAACTTGAATATTTTTTGTACGCACAAACTGGCATCAGGAGACCAAGACAGGTGGATGCTCATGTTCAGAGCCCCGTGTAATGAGTCTCCTGTAGCCAGGTCCCCTGTCCCTACGCTGACATGAGCAGTGACCTGATACTTTCATAATCACATTTTTTTCTGAAATTCTTTAGCCTTTGCTGCCTTTGCCAAACACTACTTTTCTTGTCTTTTGCAGATATGTTATGCTATTAATTTGGGAAAAGAAATAATTGAGGCTCAGAAGGTAAGGTGCATTTTAAATGTGGTGGTTTAACAACTACTTAGGAGACATCTATACACATACTAAGATTTCGTGCAAAAAGAAAAATGCTCACAAGGCAGGGTGGCCAAGTTTGGAATTTCCTTTTAAGCATTCTAATTACCAAACACTTCCGATCAGCTAGTTCTATAGCCACTGGTAACACATGGAGTTCTTAGTAAATATCACTGCTGTAGCTCCTGCTGTCTTATCAGGTTTCTTTGCCTGCTGTTGTTGGCTAGATTTCCTTTCTTTCAAATTAAGATGATACAAACTTAAGTGTCTACTGTGTGCTGTAAGGCCCTGCTCCTTCCTGAGTGGTCAAAAGCCCAGCAACACTGGCAGATGTCACCTGGAAACTTCCTGGAGGTGAAGCCTCTCACACCTATCTGTCCGTCAGCAGCTTAGTCTTTCATTTACACAACAAATGTTTGAGAGCAAAGTTTGTGGAAGAAAAACCCTGGACTTACAGCAGTGAGCAAGACAGACAGTTCCTGCCTCAGAGTGCTTCTAGTTCAGCACTGTCCAGCAGAACCTAATGCAGTAATAGAAATGATCTATTTAATATTCAGATTGACTATGGCTAGTGTAACTAAGGAACCAGACTTTTAAATTTTAATTAAATAGTAACGGTAGCTAATGGGTATCACACTAGTGCAGTTCTGTCAGGGAGGGGCAGGTAGATCAAGGATTAAGGCCAACATACATGAAAAAATAGCAAGCACTGACTGCAAGTTTGTATTTTATGGCATAGATCAGAGTTGGCAAATTTTCTGTAAAGGGCCAGATAATAAATTTTAGGCTTACCATCTTTGTTGCAGTGACCCACTCTACTGTTTTAATACCAAAGCAGCCATAGATAGTATGTAAATACTTGGCATGGCTGTGTTCCAGTAAAACTATTTATAAAAATGTAGTTTAAGTCAAATGGCCATAGTTTGCCAACTCTTGGTATAGATTAAAAGAGAGGAAAGAAAAGTGTTTAAAGACAAAGGTGTTCTTTAAATTAGGTGCAAAGGAAGCTCCTGTCTGGACTCTCCCCAGGAAGGTGGTTCTGGGTTGGCTAAATAAATGATATTTTGGCTGAGAAGTAAAGCCTTAGCCTAGTTTCTGGAAGTAGTAATGTGATTAAGTTTTTTTTTAGAGATGTAAGGAGACCCACCTGAAGGCACACATAGACAGGAGTCCGAAGGCATGAGGCTAGATTACAGAACACAAACATAATGACAGCAAAGCCAAAGGGGTTTTAAGTGCATTTTAAGCATTTTCTTTTCTCCTTCTTAAACTCCCCTAACTTCAGGATCCAGAAGCATTGGCTCAGTTAATGCTGTCCATACCACTAACCAGTGATGGAAAATATGTACTATTAAACGATCAACCAGATGACAATGATGGAAGTCCAAGTGAAAACAGAGGCGCAGAATCTGAAGCATAATTGTCTTGCGCCTTTGGGGGGAAGAGCACCCAGGAAGGAGAGCTGCCTCCTTAAGGGTTTTCAACTTCTCTGATACATACAGGCACACCACCTGGTTTCAGAATGCTGACAATCGCTTGTGGAATGTACTCTTGATGCCTTGATACTGAGACTTGGGAGGGAAACAGTAAGAAATGGTTGACAACATACCCAACTACAAATGTTATTTTAGGTGCTTTGTGGTAAGTTCTTTTCTTAGATTGCATTGTTCAGCACTCAGAATGAAATCTATAAAAAAAAAAAAAAAGATTGTTCACTTTATTTCAGTGTCATCTCTTTTCAGTTTCCAGTATCCTTTTAAAAAAATGGTAAAAGCCTAGATTTATAATTTGATAAACACTAAATATTTCCTATTAATATAATCTATTTTTGTATTTTACTTAATGAGCTTTAAGTGCCTGTCATTCTGAAAATTGTGTATTTATAATCAAGCTTGTCTCGTAATTGGACCTAGCAGCATTAATTTGCACAGTCAGGTGATGAGCCCTGTGCTTTGAGGCCCAGGCACTAGCAGAAATGCAAGTCTAGTTCTGGTAACTGTTCAAACATCATGCAATAAAAAGACTAGCAGATGAGTACCACAAAAGATGTTTCATTTTACATGGGAACCTTAATGAACCAGCACTCTAGAAGTTCATGGTCCTTCAGATATTGTTGTTTTTACTGATGGATCACCATGGACAGGGTGCAGCTCTACCAATTCCTGTTTCTTCTGAGCCAGACCCTCCTTAAAGAAGGGACCAGTTAATTTTAAAACTCACTTGAAGCACAGCTGGCCATGTGGCTTAGTATGAAAGTTCCTATTTCCTCCCTGACACATCTGGTTCCAGGCATCCCAGCTCACTATGAAATAAGTATAATGATCTTGAATTGCTACAGTGTTTAATTATAACCAAGAATATCATTGTCTTTGTAATAAATTAACCTAGCAATAAATGCTAGCAAATAAAAACTATCATTCTGTTTCTTTTGCTTTTTGTGGTTATTTTCTAGAATACCCATGGAAGAAAACTAAAATTGTTTTGGTTAATTTCCAAAACCAAGGCATAATGAAATCATAGCGGGGGCGGGGGTACTATGCGACATGATGAATAATGTGATTTCAATGCCGAGTTTTTAAAAGGTGGTGCTTTTTTAGAAACGGTAGATTAATAAAACAACTTTTGCAAATCAAAATTAGGTTAAAGGGTTTAGCTAAGGAATAATGTGTGCACCATCAGAGACACAATGAGCTGTTCAAAATAGTAAGAGATTATACACCATAAAATATTAGTTCAGTGTTAACTAATGCCTTACAATTTGTATATCATAACCACAGTAGATCAGTAAGTTCTGACAGGTTTCAAGAGCCACAGTCTCCTGAATTTCTTGCTTAGAATTGTTTGGCAGGGGAGGGGAACAATATTATTGGAAATGGAAATCAATTTTTTTTAATTTAAAAAATTAAGAATGTGTGTAAATATCTATAGAAAACACTATGGAGGTTCCTCACACAACTAAAAGTAGACTTACCATATGATCCAGCAGTCCCACTGCTGGGCATGTATCTGGAGGGAACTTTCATTTGAATAGATACACGCACCCCACTGTATAGCAGCACTATTTACAACAGCCAAGACATGGAAGCAACCTAAGTACCCATCAACAGACAGTCGGCTTAAGAAGATGTGGTGTGTATATGTATGTATGTGTGTGTATACACACACACTGGAATATCACTCAGCTATAAAAAATTACATACTGCCATTTACATGGGTGGACCTAGACAGTATTACACTTAGTAAAGTAAGTCAAAGACAAATGTTATATATCACTTATATGTAGACTCTTAAAAATAATACAAATAAATCTATATACAAAACAGACTCATAGACACAGAAAACAAACTTACGGTTACCAAAGGGGAAAGAGAGGGGGAGATAAATGAGAAGTATGGGATTAATAGATACAAACTACTATATATAAAATAGATAAGGACTTACTGTATAGCACAGGAACTATATTGAATATAAATAACCTATAATAGAAAAGAATCTGAATATATATATATAAAACTGAATCACTTTGCTGTAAACCCGAAACATGATATATATTGTAAATCAACTATATTTCAACTTTTAAAAAATGTGTGGCTTAACTAAGCCACAAAGCATGCAAATCATAAGACAAATCCAATACATTAAAATTCACTTCATAAAAAAATAGAATGAAAACATTAACTTTAGCATATTAAGCAAGCACACATGACCAACAAAAATTAGTATCTAGAATATATAAAATATCCCTACAATTAGTAAGAGAAAGATAAATTGAAAAAAAAGAAATCATAAAGGCATTTCATAGGGTAAAAAGGGCTCTTAAACAACAATATGTTCAATCATACAATAATCAAGGAACTGTAAATGAAAAACCACACAGATGATGTACTGACCAGACAGCAGAAATTCAGCCACTGGCAGGGATAAAACAATGAAGAATCTCACCTTCTGCTGGGATGAGAGAACAGTTGGGCATTCTTTCTACTGAACTTGCAGGTGCACCTGGCCCTACCACCTAGGAGATGCACTTGGGAGCACACACCCAGAGACACACACACTAACAATTACAGCAGCACTGTTCATATTATCCCAAATTTGGAAATAACCCACATCTCAACACAATAAAATACCTGTATCCATATAACAGAATATGGGAGAAATAAAACTAAATGAACTACATAGCTATATGCATCACATGGATGAATTTCAAAAATGATATGGAATTAAAGAAGTCATAAGCACAGAGTTAAGAGTCTATATTACCTGAAAAAACATACAAAATACCACCATATTCTTTAGAAAAATACACATAAGTTGTAACCCTAAAGAAAAGCAAGGAATGGTTACCACCAAAATTCCACACTGGTTTCCTCTGCAGTGGAAAAAGGAGCTGATACCTGAGAAGGAATAACGGGACCAACTAAGGAGGTAGCAACAGACTCTTAACCCATGTGGTGGCTGTGCAAGAATTCCATTTTTATTTACTAAGCAGTACATACATATATACTCTTTTGCATGTATCTTACTTTTAAAATAAAATAATTTTAAAATTTAGAAACAGTGAGTGACTTGCCCTTTCTCTCAACTTAACTTAAATGTGTACTGATGGCATAGGAAAAGCACTCTGAAAAATTAACAAGTGCCGAGGAAATGAAAGCTGGGAGGGTGGAAAACGAGGTCTTTTTATTAGCCAGCTAGTCTCACCAATTTTCATTTGCCTTTGGTTGTCCAGCCATCTGTCAGACTTTACCTTTAGGGAAGGGAAGGATCTGCCCTACACTGTCAACACTTAGCTGAGCCATTTAAAAAGGAATACTTTTTATGAGACCAACTCAAATACAGACTGTTTAGCTTCAAACTTTTCCACAGATAATTATATGCCAAGTGCATTTCTGCCTCTAGAAGCAATCATCATAATAGCTAATATTTATAACAGTCACTGTTTCCTAATATATAAAGTGCTTTATACAAATTAACTCAATCCTCAATCTATGAGCTGTATTATTATGCATGTTATGCCTGAGGGAGGTTAAGTAACCTGGTAAACAGCAAATCAGGATTCAAATCACAGTCTGGCTCCAGAATCTATGCTTCTAACCCCTATGTGCTGTTTTATTAGCACACAGAGAAAACCAGAGACAAAGCAATCTCCAGATGTTTCTCTCAATATATTAATCTTTGAAGACTATTCTAATATTCAGTAATTACATCAAATTCACCTTTAATGCCTTGGTACCTTCTGTACAGATTCTGAAATGATTACTGTAATATTAATCTTAAATAGATAGGTACTTCCAGGTATAGAAGTGTTCATTTTTTCCCCTCACTTTAGTGATAATGAGGGCATTACCGAAGAATGTTTCAGTACACATAGATCTTACGTACACTACAGAATGTAGTCCTTAAAGACGATCCCAGAATTATGACATCAAATCTACACTGATCGGGAGATAAATTTCATCCATTTTCCTGAGTATGTCTCCACTGATGGGAACTGCAACTATCAAGGTAAACTAGGTAAAGAAGAGCCAAACTATTAAAATAGAGGAACAAATCCATGTACTTGCCCAAACTAACCTTTCATACAATGTATATATGAACTTTTTGTATAAACTAATTTTGCCATCATCATCTCTCAATTCACTTCATAGTCCTATTACTTCACTTGATCTCTATAGAACCACTTATTCTGGATTCCTTTTTTTAAACTAAAATCTTTGACAATCTGTTAAACTGTTTCTAACATTTAAACACAAAAAAAAAATTGTGGCACTAAAACTTCCTTAAGAAAAGGAATACCATCAGTCTGAAACTTACACAACTTAAGCTGGAAAAAGAACTAAAATTATTAAAACTGGTTAAAATCTACCTTCTACTTTTGGCCAATGTAGCATAAAAGTAACATGATGATGTATGTATGTGATGGTATTATCTCATCTTTCCCACAACCGTACAAATTTACTACCTCAGAAGAGAAAAGGGAGCAGCAATCAGACTTTATCAAGAACAGTTTCTCCAGCATAGTATTTAAAAGGCTCTCCTTTATTATGAAGGCTTCAGTTCAACTCTTGTTTGCAAATGGCACTGCAGTTATTTCTAACATTAAACACTGCAAACTGATGATCCCTTCCCAG